TTTCTTGTGCTCTGTTTTCATTGCTTTTTGCAGACTGGGGTCAAATATTAACTACATTCAGACACATTTCATGACTTGTAAGTCTTGCCTCATGCTCTGTACATTGAAGTTTAAGGAGATATTGAAGCAGTGATTTCATTCATTTTTCTGGGGTGTTGCAAAGGTAGGATTTTCTATAAAGTACTGTAAGTAGTGTTATTCTGGGAAAAAATATTTTTTCATACAACGTCTAGGTAGAAATGCCCTTATAAAAATCAACAGGGATTTTTAACCTGATATGAAATATGCTAATCAAATAAAACCTTTGTAGATCCAGAACTATAGAACATACCTTTAAACACAGATAATATTTTATTTCATATGTGCAGTTTAATTTATTTATCTGACTAGCAGATCATTTAACTGGATAGCATAATTGAAATTGTCTGGTATTGCCAAAAGCAAAGGTTTTCAAACTGCAGTCTTTATTAGCTCTGTGCAACTCAGACATTTGTCACATCAAGTGCTGCTTTTGAAATAAAAAACACAATTTGCGCAAACTTTTCATTAGGTCTCGGGTTGCCTGAAGTGTCACTTTCTAGAATAGGAAACAATCAGAAAAGTGCCCCAAGGATGCAAGGTATTTTTCAAACTAATGGTGACAGCAAAATTCTTATAGAATGACTAAGCATGCTCTGTGGTTATTGTTTTTAAACTTAGGCTGCTATACAATGATGGTTACAGTACATTTGAAAACATTTTTTTAAATTTTTAATAATTTGAATACAACTAACTGATAGAGAGTTCCTTTATTAAGAGGATAAGCCAAAACAATAAAAATAAATAAACTTTGTAGACTGATCATGCACTAAAAAGTTTTTGCAATTTATGCTATTAAATAACCATGAAATACTTCTGTATAAAAGAAACAAAAATAGCCTTATATATTGTAGAGCAGTTCAATAATTACAATGTCCATTTATGTCTAGAGGTTAGAAATCTCTTTTTAAAATGGTGTTTTACGTTTTGTAAAAGTTTCTGATTTTTTTCTAGAAAGAAACGTTGCTACATGTGATAAGTGCCTTCATACGTCTGCGAATATATATCTTCCTGTCATAAAATATTCTGAATAGGCTTTTTTTTTCTTCCATTAGACACACAGGTGTACTAGAAATTTTTGTGTGCAATTTACTTTACAAACACTCACCTAACACCTAACGTATGAAAACTGTAGCTTGTGTTGTGTCTGTTGTGGTTATGGTTAAGTTAAAAACAACAGAGTGATATTTGCATGTTTTCATCTAGAATAGGAAATTCATACTCATGCTGTGAAGTACTAGTGTTATAACACTTCTGATTAAAAAGTCAAAACAATTGGTTGGAAAAAAGTAACCCTGACTGACTACACAATTTTTCTTTTTAAATGTTACTGGTATTTTATGGCCCATGTTCCTCTTGTTTTTAACGAACATTAGGGACGCTTAAAGAACATAGGATCTCAGCCATATTGTTAAACTCAAATCTAATGTTTAGATAAAATTACTGCGAACTATTTCTAGTCAGACTTAAAGCCAGGGTGATATCTGTCATCCTGAATTCACAATGCAAGTGCAGTACTGACCTTAGTTGAGTGAGTCATGATAACACTGGCCAGGTTGGTTTTTGTCTAGCACAGAGGTTCCCAGTCCTGGTCCTGAAGTTTTAATAGCTTAATTCCTTAATTGAAGCATTAAAGGGGAGTAGCATTTTTATATGTTGGGCTTAGATTGAATCAGCATTAATAAGTGCATTTCAAACTACAGTGAAAGTAAAATGTATACAGTAACATGTAAAACTAGATGAAATTTCCAGGTGTGCGCAGTGCCATATTCTGCGATTCAGAACAAGGCAACAGATGTTCATGTGAGGTGAAGGTGTGAGGCCCTATGACATTGTAAAGAAGCAGGCTTGTGAATACTTCGCTTTTAATCCAATAGAAATATTGCCGACAAATCGAGATGGTTTTGCCGACAAATACTACTTGTTAACTCTGCATGCAGATCATGTTGGAACATTACAGCAGTGAAATGTCTCCTGCACAACTCGTACTGATTTGCTCTTACATCACATTAACATTAGTCACTGCAGGGACTAGTGAGCAGGAAGGGCCGCTTCACGTTGCAATTCTCGTGAACTCTCGCTCTCGCCTGTGGTGAGACTAGGGGTTTGCGAAAACAATGACATCCATACAGGAGTTTCAAAAAGTTCACGATTTTGTGCTTAATTTGTACAATTGTGTCATACCATCAATTGATTTATTTTGTTACTGAGATTTAATACCTGGTCTGAGAAATTGGGGCTGCAGTTCCCCTTTAATTGAACTATTTAAACTAGTTACTTGGTTTAAACATTTGCAAGTTTTTTTTCTACTCTGAAGCTTGTGGTTTTGCTGTACCAATGAAATACAAGGCAACCACCACCATTTTTAAAAACTGAAAACAATCAAACAGTTCAAATCAGTCCAATTTGAGACCCAGACACGTAATAAGGTCAAGATTGGGGTCCTCTGGGCTATTAAATTTCTTTAGCAAACATATTGCCAATTGTACGGAAAATGTAACAGATGTTTCAATATAAGCAGAGTCACAGCTAAACCACTCTTTTGTGGCACTTGTAAAGCATGGTCTGTTGATATTATGACTTGAATAGGAAAGTCTTTTCATTTTTTCACAACAGGTTCAGATTCTCTCCGTTTTCTGACAAGCGAGGTCAAGTTTATTTTCTCGACAACCGTGATCAACAAAGGATTACAGAAAATATTTTAAGAGGTTCTCATAATGAAATCCAAAAAGACTAAATGTGTTTTGATACTGACAATTGCAATAAATTGAGTGCATTTTGACACGGCATGCATACTATATTCACGTCTCGCGATTGGAAGCCTTACAGTACTGGAGTGAATCTTTAGTTTTTTGTATCTTGTGTAAAAGAGGTCACTGATCTCCATTGGCCCTTCTGTGTTTCACCTATTCTGACCACAGGCTTGTAGACACTCAGTAGTGCTGCAGGCAGAGCGCACTAAGGGCTGTGAAGTGTAGGCAGTGACAGTGGGGCAAGTGCTCTCCGCTCACATACAGTAACCTCAAAACGATGAATAGAGAAGATAATGCTTTCATCCACTGTCTCAACAATGACAGGCAATTAAAAAGATAATTATGGCCAAATTGCTATAGCAGGGCCAGGTTGTGGCGACACGCTTTTTATTAAAAAAAAACAAGAATCTGCAGTGACATTTGTTTGTTGTTCCTTTTATTATTATCATTCCTCAAGCAAGTGTTGAGTCGTCAACACGGCTTTGGTCTCTGTGCCGCCCCTGCAGTACTTTCAGCAGGCTGTTGGCAGTTGTTTCTGATCTCACCCTTCCTCCCGGGCTGTCTCCAGCTGTCTGACTAAGCTCTAGTTTTTCCCTACAGTGTCTCCTCAGTGACTGTACACTGGACATGTCCTCCACCCTTCTCTCTTCACTGCCTACTTGTAGCGTCCTACACCATAATATGCCTTTGGCTCTGTAAGGCAAAAAAATGTTAAATATGTATTACAACTTCTGTCTTCGCGTTTGGAAGCCAATGGAAATGATCAGTTTAAAGACACAGATCTAAATGTCCTTTTCAGAGGTATTGTGGCGCATACCTGACAGTCCTGACCCTATCACTTCAACTCCTGCAGGAAGTCCTTCAGCTCTAAGTGTACAGTGGCTGTGATAAAAATAGCTGTGCGGTGTGTCACGTCGACTTCCTGTATGCTCTGTATGTGTTTAGCATTTGTAATTGAGAGACACAGGCCCACTATATTTCCTTTTGCTCTTCCTCGTCAGACGCATTAATCCGTCTTTTGCTTTTTCCACTGACATGACATGTTAACGTTCATTTTCTGTGCTGTAAGGAAGAGTCTGCATGTGCTCGCTTACTCTGGAAGCTGGCTAATGGTTGAATCTGCGCTGCAGACATTACTGGTGAAGCTCGAGCTCTGATGAATGCTTCACTTAGTGCTTTCCATTGATTCATTTTTCAATAAACGTATTTACATTCGGTTATGATTTCTATTGATTAGTTTAAGAAAGATTGGCAGCTCAAAGAGATATTGAAATTGGCTTTCCAGGATATGATTTCCATGTAAGAGACTGCAGGAACAGCAAATATTTTGCCTTTTTTGTTTTGCAGGATATTGAGCAAAATAACAGGATACATAAGAGTGTCTTGTTTCTATTACACAAGTGCTAATCAATTCTTTTTGTTTGCGTTCAGTTTGAGGCCTTGATTGGCTCAAGCTGTTTTGACAGTTCTGTTCTCAGTCACTGTTTAGGTGTTGGTTTGTCATTGGTCAAGTGTTTCATTTGTTTCTTCTATATAGTCAGGACTGTGATCATAGCTGACCTGTGGCAATAGATTTTCTAACTGTAACTGATTGATTTAAATGTGATAGCACAAAGGGGACTGCCTATTGTTGTGAAGGAGATAAATTCTCTTTAGTTGATATCTTAAGCAACATTGAGACAAATGTCTATTTCTCATATAATCAAACCTATTGATTGCAATGGATAGTACCGAGTCTGGGCTTAATAATAAAACAAATGTATTTTTAGCCTCAGAGGTCAATTTCCTGAATGAAAAAGACTTGAAGAACAAACTGAGAATACCATTGCTGTTTAATTTGTATGTACATACTAACATTTCCTTTTGAGTAACCTGACCCTGAACTGAAAAATTGAATTTTTATAACATCATTTTCAATAGAATTTTTTGAGGACAGTCAATTTTAGTTTTGTAAAGGTTTAGTCATTTCATTAAAAAAAAGCTTTGACTGGACAGACTAAAGGTTTTTTATATGTTTATTCTTATGTCATTTTTGATCATACTTTTATTGTATATTGTATATATTATACTGTCCTTCCTGATATAGCAAAATATAGACACTTTGATCTAGTGTCTGCTTCTCTGAAATTGTGCTCAAACCCCATCATGTTTCTGATTTGTGTTTTTCAGGCCTCATCGGAGACCACCTTGTGAACATTCGCTCTCATACCACAGAACTAAAATGACCAGCACAGGCTCAGACACAAACATGTCCATTAGGAGGTTATCGCAGAAACCACAGTGAAAAGTTATAAAAAAAACGTGAGTACAATATGTGCTAATTCTTTCCTATTTTGGATGTTTACTGTGGTATTGCAATTTAATTTTTTCCCCATGGTCTTACTGTATATAACTGCATCTTGTGGCTTTTATATTGTATACCACATTTTTTTAAGCATCATGGGGGCATTCTCTAGCAAAATGCTACCATGTTCAATTATGTGGAGATTGCTAAGTGCCATGGAAAAAGAAATATATAGGAAAGATCTCTTATTCTTACTTTAACAACAAAGTAAAGAAGTAGCTTGAAGGATTTTTTTTCTGGTGATTAATAACTCAAGCCCTGCTCACTCACTGGGTCTGTAACTGTAGGAGACACTGCTCATAAAGTACAGTACCTATCAGCAGGTACTCACGTGTCAACTTCCTAAAAAGACAGTTAAACATCTGATGTGGAACATTTAATTTTACTTCTAAGATGGACATTTGGAATTTGGAATTAAGTAATCATGTTGTGATCTAAGAAGTTATGGAAAACAAGTACCTGAAATTCTTCCTAAAACTACATTGATTGTGTACCCTCACTCTTAGTGACATGCTGAAAACTGATGTATTTTTAATGGCCCTAGTTGCTCTGGGCTGCTGATAGTGCTGTATCAAGTACTTTCTCCTGAAAAACAGTGAAATCTGAATCTAACTTGTCTGAGGAAACAAGGAATTTCCACTTATCTGCTAATGCCAAAAATGTAATTTAAGTGAACTATAATAAAAAGACAGGTTGTAAAATTAACTCAGGATAAAGCTGTACTCATGTTATAGTTCTTGGATAGATAGAAGGCAGGGATATTTTGTAGGTTCTCGTAGGTTTGCCTAATTCAGTATTTTAACTTGATTGACAGGGAAGTGGATTTCTGTCAGGTTTCCATTTTTGCATTTCTTTGTCATTCTTTTTATGAAAACATCAGTGGTCAGGCTGATGGTTTCCAAGGACATCAGGTGCTCTAGGGATGCCTGAGCAGTCCATATTTGATTTGAAAGGGTATGAGTGAGAGTAGACAGACAAGATCGCCTATCGATAACGCTGGCTGTGTTGTCCTTGGGTGATTACTGAAGCAAGCAGAATGTAGAATTATCGATCATTTCTGCACTGCAGAGGTCCTGTCTACTCTGTGCTGGGTTTTGTGATACACTTCTTAAATGCTTCTTAAATATATTCATTTAGGAAACAATGGAGAAGATGAAAAATGGAAGTTTCTCTCTGTGGTCTTTTCCCAAGCCATCTGGAAATTGTAGCCAATCATTTTTCTGTTATTCAATATCTTAACCTGTTTAACGATCTCGCAGCTCATGGGACAAGCTGCTGACTGGGAGCTGTATAGGAGAATCCCAATTTATGGGCAAAAGGTGGATGAAACCCAGGGGAAATACGGGCAGCACGCTGACAGGGGATGGTGGTGTAACAGGTGAGCAGGCAGGGATACAGCTCCACAGACAGGCAGCCGAGCAGCGGTTGTGGAGCTGCAGGCTCACTGCAGAGGTGGACACTAGCAACAGCACTAAGGGCAAACCGAGAGAGATGGTCAGGCAGGAGTGAAGTCATCACGCTGGAGAAAGCCTCAGAATGCAGGTGATCTGGGTCGAACATGGGGAAGACATAAAAAAAGCCAGGGGGAGATCTGGGAATTGTGGTCAAGACAGCAAAGTGAGGATTCCAAACCAAAGCTCAGGAGACAAAGCTAGGGAGCAAGCTTGGGATCACAGAAGCTCAGATTCCTGGCTTTATGACAGGGCCCAGAGCAGAGTCTGAACAGTCCTTATACATCCCCCAATCACCCGGACAGGCAAGATGGTGACTGCCCCCAGGTGATCTGGGTCTCCTGTCAGATTGTTTCCATGGCAACCGGCGCTGAGTGACAGGTGGGTGGCACGAGTGACAGCCCGGTTGCCGCGGCAATGCAAGGTCTTCCCAAAGAGCAGCTTCTGGGGTGAGCCCGGCACTCTTTTGTGTTGTTTTGGGAGAAGAGCACTATACTTTGCTTAGTCTTAGACATAGATCGTTTCCTTTTTTGCTTTTTTTGTATTCCTATGAAAATTACGTGAAAAGGAAACTCTGAGCTGGATTAGAGACCATTAGTAGGAAACAAATCAGGGTTATGTTCCCTCTGTAAATACTCTAGCTATTGGCCAGTGGTTCCCAGTCCTGGCCTCAGTGCCCCACAGACCTGCTGGATTTCATTCTATACCACCTGAATTAAATAAATGAAGCTTACGTGATCCAAGAAGTTCCAATTTAATGTTTGCGTTTTGTTTCAAGTTTTTCTCGAAAAGAGTAGGGGTGTTACCCTGGCATCCTGGCCAAATTTTCCCATTGGCCTTTATCAATCATGGCCTCCTAATCTATGAACTGGCTCCATCACTCTGCTCTCCTCCCCACTGAGAGCTGATGTGTGGTTAGAGTTCTGGCGCACTGTGGCTGCTGTCACATCATCCAGGTGGGGCTGCACACTGGTGGGGGTGGAGGGGAGTCCCCATTACCTGTCAAGCGCTTTGAGTGGAATATTATTATTATTAAAATCAATGAACAATCAATGATTGTATAACTGAGGGCTCCACAAGGACAAAAACCAAATTGGTGTGGGTCACCAGTACTGAGATTGGGACGCACTGCTATAGGTTTTGGGAATTCTTTTTAGAATCCATTTTTTTTGTGCTAAAATCAGTAGATGGCATGAAAAGTTAATCTTTTTTTAACATGAATCATTTCACCTATTTTGTGTGTAGAAATTGTGGCCACTCATCCAACCTTCTGAAAAGATACAAAGATACAGAGTTTAAGTCAAAAACTGTCCTTTGTAAAGAATGTCAATATTTCAGTTGTATTTTCTGCATACTTGAATGATTAGATCCATCTAGTTCATCAGTGTAGAATTTCACTGATTTTTCAGCTCAAGGTTTGACTTCTTTCTTTAGCTACTGTGGTGAAATGGAGAGACTTGCTTTAAGAGAATCCTTTGTACACCTCTTTGCTGGTGTAGCATTATCAACAGCTACTAATTATAAAGAGCAGCTTATTTTTGATTCAGCTTATTATTGGCTCTGTGGCTAAGGATCCACACCTGTGGCTGGAAGGTTGCTGGTTCTTATCCTGCGGACGGCAGAGGAATCCTACTCTGTTGGGCCCCTGAGCAAGGCCCTTAACCCCAACTGCTCCAGGGGCGCTGTACAATGGCTGACCCTGCGCTCTGACCCTCAGCTTCTCTCCCTGTCTGTGTGTCTGTGTCTCATGGAGAGCAAGCTGGGGTATGCGAAAAAAAAAATTGTAAAGGGTTAATAAAGTGATGTTATTATGTTATTATTATTATTATTATTATTATTACTTTTCTTGACAGATTGCATTTGTGGCTTTAATAAGGTATAGCCATTCAGCTATAATACATGTGCAGCTGGACTTTGCGTTGCTTTTCTACTGTAGCTAAATGTTCAGCATCACACAGAAGACCAGCTGTTTTCTCCACATCAAAACTAGTGGCACCAACACTCAGATTATTAACGTATTAAAAGTGGAGACATCAATGGTACCGACAGGATAATGAGTCATTCCTTGATAAGATAAATCATATTTCCCCACATATTTTTTCACCTGTTTGCTTGAATCAAGTGTTTCATTTCATTGTTTTGAACTTGTGACTAATAACAGCCTCAATGCACAACGTCTGTGTTAATGTGGAATTTTTTGATAGAACTGGCACTTTTTAAACCTTGCAAGGGGAACCTTTCCCCATTTCATTTTGCAGACGTACAACGAGTGCCCTATTCAAGCTCATTTGATGTGATTTTTCCATTCAGTAGCTTTTTTGTCCAGTACGTTTCGGGGAATCAAATCATCAGACATACTTTTATTTTCTTACACCTTGCTCTTGCTTTCTCCAAAGACGAAAACCAAGTCTATTTGCTGTGGTGTGAACATTGAAGAAATTTGATTTTGGAAAATGCAAGAAGAGAGTTATCTAAAATTGTATTCTCAGTATAATTTATCATGACGGGGAAATCTATATTTGAAGTTTAAAAAAGAAATCTTAAACAGAGGACTATGTTATATGTTCCCAGTCTGTTTTACTTTCCAGTGCAATTTTGTGCCTTTTAGAATGTCCTTCTGATGTCTAAAAAATCTGTCATGTGCCGTGTTTCCAAAACGTATAAAATATTTAACTGTTTTGCAACGTAAGAAGTTATAAATGAGCTGTTCTGCCCATACCCTACCTCGTTTGGTTGCTCGTACCTGATGAAGATCATTTTCTTTAACGTGTTTTCCTAAAATGCACAACATTTCGTACAGTAAACCGGAGGTCAGTGCAAACCGACACACTATACTGTTTCTTTTTGTAAAGAAGTGTTTCATTTTGGAAAAGAAAATGTGAAATGTTTCTCTGCATCAAGTAATTATGTAACTAATTGGAAAATTAAATTGGATTATTCTGGTTTGAGAGAAGTACAATTCTGAGACTATTGTTGGTCATTTTGGCAAGACAACTAACAGTTGGGGCTGATAAAGAGATGTTGGATATTATTGGAAACCTGGTAGAAGAGGGACACATACATTACATGTTAAAAAAATTCCAGTGTAGCTGTCAAGTAATACCAATTCCTTAATTATAGAGTCCAGTCATGAATCAGATATTTAAAGAGCTGACTGGGTCTTGCAATGGTATGGATTTGTAGGACTGGTATTTATGTAGCAATGTGACAGGGGATAAGCCTTTCACTCACTTATTCTGACCTTCTTTAGAATTCACCACAGAAAAACATGTTTTGGAAGGAGAGTAGAAACTGGTGGGAGTTTTTTCTCCTAGTCGAATTCCTTAGTTATTCTGATTCTGCCTTTTTAGTTGCATTACATAATAAAGTAAGAATGTGTTTTCCCCAGTCAAAACTGTTGAGTTATGTAAACATCCTTAAGTTTGATGACTAGTCAAGGCTAGTCACAGCAAATATCCAGATTTCAAACTGAGCTATCCTTAAGAACCTATCTGTATTATCTGTAT